ACATTGTGTGGCTGCTAATATTATTTCTCCAGTCTACCGCTTAAAGGAAGACCATTATGGGAAAAATTTACTGCACACGCTCTTTAATTCCTTGTAAATCGAAAGCAAATAGTTTAATCCTCGTTGGCATTACCTGTGCTTTGTTTCTCAGAGGGAGACAGAGAGGCAAAATTAACTGTCATATTCCGCATGGACAACTGGCTCACAGATAAAACGAGAGAAAGTGACACTTAAAGGCCCAGAGGTACCCCCAATAAAACATCCCAGACTGCAGCTTTTATTTTATTGTAATAATGGCTCATGTTCACAAGGGCCTCTCAACAAAGTCTCAAAAGAGAGATTCTTCATTCCTGCTACCCAGCACTCTCTCCCGCTTGCTTAAGTAACTTCAGTTTGAACCTACCTTACGAATGACATCTGAATCTGCTTATAAATCACTGTAATTAAACAAGGGAAGAAAAAAAAAATCACACCCCTTCCATAAATTTGTTAGAATTTTTCTTCCCTCCTCCCCAAAATCTATTTTCCACTCACCAGATTTCAATGTCTTCTGACAATTTTCAGTCTTGAACTGATAGAGCATTGTGGTACTATATGCTCCCCTGATTTTAACTCCAAACAGTCCAGTTTTTTTTATGTAAATCATTTAACAGAATGAATCTCACTTGGCATAGCTTCAGAATCTCCTCAGCTTCCTTCACTGCTCCTTTAACTTCCTGATGAGCCACTTCACTCAAGTAAAAGTTCATAGTAATGATATGAAACAACACAATTCAAAGTCTCACTCCATTGTGGCTGCAAGATGTTCCTCTTATCCTAGGAGCCTCTCAAGCATACTACGGAGAAGACAGATAAATTGCTTTGGAAGGCAGAATACTCACACTGTTGAATAGTAAGAAGTGAGTAACAAAGAAAAGGGTGTCTCAGTAGAAAAACAGCCAGGTGACAGCCCTCTCCTCTTTAATATGGAGACTATTAGAACTGGTCTGGACTGCTGCTGTGAGGTAGCCAATGAAGCAGCCTCTCCAGCTGTACACAGAGCACTCTATACAGTCCTGTACATAAATACAGTAAGTTTTTACTGTATTTAATGTATGAACAAAGAACACGCTATCATCTCTCAGGATTAGACTAGTATTTAGGCCTATTTATCAGTGACAAGTGAATACTAAGCAGCTGTCATGAATTTGGGTTTCTGTCAAGACCATGGAAAGAAAAGGTGCGGGAACAAGAGAAAGAAACTTCCGTATTTGTGAATTTCAGTACCTTCTGAGCAACCCAGCAGCTTCCTTCTCGAACAAGGTATGAGTCACCTCATGCCCACACCTACTGCCTCTCCCCTGCTCAACATTATTAAGTAACAATCTGCAAAAGTAGCTGGTTACTAAAAGATATTCAAATCATCTTACAGAAGAAGATGAATGAAGACAAGTATCAATCTTTTTAAGCTTTCCTGTGGCTTCTTCCATGCCCCAACTCCTCTCTTTCTGGCTCTCAATTTGAATAAACCTGCAGTCTTCAGATTTAAACCCTGGAAATTAGGTGCCCACGCCTGATCAACATTCCCCAATGCCGGTTTGAAAACTGCAGTGAAAGACTTAAAGAAATCAGAACATCTGGTTCTCCTTTGGCACCTTGGTCTCCTTTTTGTTACCTTATGCCCCATGCTCCAGTGGAAGACGTCATCCTCCTGACTTGTCTTTCACCATCTTGTGCTACTGTCTCCTCTGTTTCTGGGCTCCAGACCATGGTTTTTAAATTTATGGTTTGCTTTGTGTATATTAGTCTACTTCATGTAATTATCTGTGACTGTTTCCTACTATGTTATGAAACTTACTGCCCTCACTGTTGAATGTTTATACCTTATTTCTAGATACCAATTTTCATCTCCCAACTTTGGGATCTTGTCATACTTTGCTTTGTTATAAAAAAAGTCCTGTCCAGAAAGCAAACGGCCATTCATTCTAGTATCTATACACCAAGATCAAGTCCCCCAGCGCACAACAATCATTGTTCCCCGTCCCCATTCTGTGATGGGATATAAACTCCCCATCTGTGGGCTTTCAGGGAGAAACTTAATCAATCTGCTCTGAAGTAACCACAAACAATACAAGCAGTCAGACTAAAAACTGGGTAGGTATCATTTTACAGCAGCCTCCTAATCAGCATGAGATTCATTTTATCTAACTCTGCTGCTGCTGCGGCACCTCACTCTCACTGACGTGAGATTCAGCACTGCAGCTTCTCTTCTCCCGCAGACTCATGAACTGGGTGCAGCTTTGTTTTAACCTGGCACATTCCTAGGTTGCAGTGAAAGTATGCCACCTTTTCAGATAGCTTACTCAAGAGGGTTACTCTTCACACTCCGAAGAGCCAGTGAGCAGGGCTTTCCCCATCCTGTGACCAAGTGGAGCCAGTGTACTCCTACCTCGCAGGTCAACTTGCACTGAAGAGCCTGAACCCTTACCCTGTCCTGCTCACCAGTACTCAAGAGAGCTGCAAGGTCTGCCACATGTCATGCAAACTAAACGGAAATAAGAGACATATGTCTTTGCTGAGACAGATGGAGGCTTGAGTGCACACTAGCCTCCAAGGCTACCACCAGGGTACTGCAAAAACTGAACACTTAATGGAGACCAGATAGGAGATTTAAGAAGAGCAAGACACTCCAGAAACACTAACAGCAAACTACTAGTAGAAAAGAAACATTAGAGAGACTTACAGTTAGGAGCTGACATCTGTGGTGTTTGATATCAGTCAGGGAGCAGTGAGGGCCAGCTGCTCCCTCAGGAATGGGGCCAGCAGCTGAGCAGCTCCAATGCTGGCAGGGCAAGGTCTCACCAGCCAGGGCTCAGTCTCACTGTAACCACACAAAGCAAGCAGGGCAGCCCCAGAGACAGTCAGGTCCAGATCATAACACAGTATCAAAGTGATGAGGCAGGTCTGAGGTCAAGCAGGAAAGTCAACCCCAAGTTCAGGGCTAGATCAGGTGCCAGCTCTTAACCAGGCAGGCCCACAGTGACAGGATAGGGTCAAGGTCAAAACAGGAACTCAACCTGCAGGTAAGGGTCCAGACTGGCAGGGCACAGCACCTGTGGCTAGACTAAAGACCGGCACCCTCCAATATAGCTCAAGCAGCAACCAAGACCCCTGGACTGAGCTCAGACAGAGGGTAGGCTAGGAGCAGAGGGAGGTCCCAGGTGAGGCTGGTCAGGGCCATTAAGGCCCATTAATGCTCCCAGGGTTCTTGACACCTGAAGCCATACTACTAAGAGTAACTTCACAGTCCTTGATTAAGAAGTCAAATAGCTTGCAGAAACTCTAATCAGAGCAAATGGGAAAGGTTAAAAGGCCTATGGAGTATCTTCGAGAGGGCATATTTGAATATATTTGCTCCACTGAACAACTCCAAGAAAGAAGAAGTCCTGTTTAGAGTGTGTGTGTGAACTCTTTCGTGATACTAAAACTGAAGCTAGATGCCAATATGTTAGGGTGAGATGAGCACTTCTGTGTTCAGTCTGTCATCCAAACCACTAGGAGGGAGTGCAGCAAGGCCAAGGGGAACAGTGTCACAGCCTATCCCTCCCCCTTCCCTGGAGGGACAACCATTTTAAATATGTTGAATAAAAAGAGGAATCACCAGAATTTTCTAGGAGAAGTAGGGATGCCCAGCTTCACCCCCTCCCAAACACACCGCCCTCCCCCCCCCCCCCCCCCCCCCGACATCAGAGACCTCTAAACATCTTCTCACAGCCACTTCCTATGAAGGAATACACACATGAAATAAATTCCAACAAAAATATGACTTCAGGAGTCATTAGCATATTCAAAAGACATCTCAATTATTTCTTTAGTGCAGAGCCAAGGGAGTAGTGTAAAGAAAACAGGTGAATTAAAATGATGAAATCAAAGAAAAACTGGCCCAGTGGAGTCCCTGTGGTCTGCCTTTACCTGTTTGTTATTATTGCCTCACAAGTGTATTTGAACTATTTCTGTCTATTGTAATTCTCCATTGATAGTCCATTAGGATGCAAGAAAACATCCATTTAGGCACAAAAAATATGTTTAATTTAATTATTTAGCACCTTTGGAAGAGATTTATCACAATCAATCTCCAGAAGAAAAAAATTAACTTAGATGCCTTTGGTGTAAATCAGCTTTGCAGCTGATGAGCTAAATAAACAATTTTGTCTTGCTGAGAAAAGCGAGTTTGCCACAAGAGGAATCCCTCTCTCTAAAACCTGTGTTTGAAAACCTATTCCTATTCAGGACTGAAAACTGAAGCATATGCTTAAGTACCAAACTCCTGAAGCCTGTGCTTCAGTACTGCTTAGAATGATGATAGATTTAACTGCATTTAAGTGCCTTTTTGATGTCTCATCTTTTAATTTTACAGTGGTCATCATTCTCTCCTCCACCCACACAGAGTTTATTATAGCCTCAAGACCTAAGTCTTTCTTCCTATGAAGTTTTAAAGTCTTTTTGCAGCTTATAAGGACATAGTTTGACAAGCATTTTCTTGGCAACAGTAGTCCCAGGTTATGCAGCCACAACCTACAGCCTCCCTGCTCCCCCTACCCCGAGATATCGTTTTAGCTCAGCCAGGTTCCCTCACCGCATCCACCTCACCGCATCCACCTGGAAAGCAGATGAGTTTCCTGCTGGCACTTTGAGCCCAGTTTGGCTATGGGGTGATGGAAAGGAGTGAAAACGCTCATGACAAACTCACTTGACGTTTTGCTTGCACTTGCATTAGTGCTTCATACTGATGGCTGATCTTAACGTAGAGCTCGGTTTATTTATGGGAATGGATTATGCTTGCTTCTCATTTTAAATGAAGTGGAACATGGCATCAAGCCCACACTACAGTTATGATAAATCCTCAGCAGGCATTAAGATGTAGAAGTCCATGAACTTATGCAATGTTTACAGTGATTGGGGGGGTGGGGGTGGTGTAGTCCAAATCCGCCTTAAAATGGAGCACTGGCACCTTCCTTGCCTGGTGCTTGGCAGGCTAGGGCTCCACTCCAGACTAAAGGCAATTTTCATTAATGGGACAAAATACTGTGAACAATAAAAGGGACATTTCTTTTTCCCTCAGCTTCAGTCTCATCCCAGAAAGGATATTAAGCACAGCAAATAACGTGACATGCAGCTGTCATGATCAAAAGAAATCAGGTTTTGATATTAAGGTTACAAGCAAAATTCTTCCTTCCCCACTTGCCAGGGAATTCCCTTTACTCACCTCTTGCCAAATAAAAACTTTGTATGTTATGGAAAGGTTTTGTCTTTCTCCTCTCCTCCCATCCACCCCCCCACTAATTAGAATGAAAACTGCAGGGCAGGCCAGAATGGCTGCTTAACAGATTGACCAGTGTCCAACCTTTATCTGGAACAAAAACATTTACTAACAACTTGATTGTAGTAATTTTGCTTATAATTCCTTTGAACCAGTACACCATCCGAAGTGCAGAATCCCATTTTTAATTAAAAATTACTTAAACAATGTCTAAATTGGCCAGATAAACTGAATCCCTAATGTGAAGTGTTCTTTGCGGTTAATGAACCATTCCCTTGACAGTAAAAGCTTGGTACAAAATCACTAGTGTTCATAATATGGTCCAATAATAACGCTGTTCATTATTACTGTGATTTATTTCTTGCTACAGTACAGCTTGAGGGGGGAAGATGATTCATTAATAAACTCCTATTATTTTTTCTAATTCTGGTAATTATTGCCTTACCATTTTGTACCAGTATGATGCCTAGATTCAAAGGTTAAGCAACCAGCCCTAAATACCAGGTGATCCCACAGCATATCTCAGGATATGGTATCCATGGAAATCTAAGAATGACACAGAGTCTTTCTGTCAGTCTCTGCGGCTTCTTGCACGAACCATGGGCTGAGTTTACGATAAATTACATCAAAGCTGATGTTACATCTTTGTAGTGTTCACTCCTGGGAGAATTAATATCAAAAGCCTTGAGAAAAATACAGAAAAATGAGAGCAAAAGGACAGGTTTCTGTGGGGAAGTGCAGCTTTTATTATTATGGCTAAAAGTTGAAAGACACTGGGCTAACTTTAAGTGTGATTTAGCCATGCACAGGTATGCGTTTAAGCAATAAAATACGTGATCCAAGTAAATCTTTAAATCTCTTGTGGAGTAACTTGAAAAGAACATGAAGGCAGACTTTCTCGTGTTCAATACACACAGCAGGAAACAGGATTGCTGAGAAGTTTGGTGCATAGAAACCTCCTTTATTGCAGTTTTAATCATGTTAATTCAAATGGACTTGATTACCAAACTGCCATAAATTCAGTGATCTTTTGATATATAATGTCCCTTAAATAAGTACTTGCAAAAAGTACCAAGTCTTACTGAGACTCCTTAGTGCAATTTCTCTTGCAGAGACAGAACAGCAGTGTGTGGTTAGGGACAATATTTCCAGAAGGATGAATTAGGCCTCATCTTTTACAGAGAAAGATAAAGTATAGGTAAGAATGGCTCTACTGGTTCAGACTAAAAAGTCTGTCCTGCCTAATCTTTTGTCCTCAACAGGCATGAAATCTATTAATGGTGGCATGCTATTAAAACGTTAAGCCCGAAAAAAATTAAGCGTGTCTGAGTACAGCAGTGAAATCACTAAGTAGCTAGGTCCTGATAACAGCTCTAGGCATCTTCTCCATATATACCACGGGGTACTGCCGCATGCTTTATATAAACGAAGATATTGGCAAGAGATACTGCAGCAAATAATTACCTTTATTTTAGCAATAGTACAGTGACAGACTCGCCTGTCCTGCAGCGCTGAGCACCTTCCACTTCTTTGGCTTCCGTAAAGAGGAGTGGGAGAAGTTTTTTACAGCTAGCAGGCTGATAAGAGCTGCAGCAGTTTATATAAAAGTGAGGCAAGGTAAACTGTGACTTTGAACTTAAGACATTAACCCAGTATGTATGATTCTACATATATGTATATAAGCTTTAGGCTTGAGGCTTAACAATTAAATCCTTAAGATAAATTCTGACAAATTGAATAAAAAGTAATGAAATACGACAGAAGGTTAAAACTTCGGATGGACTGAACTTATTAAAAGCGTCTTGATCTGCCATCATTAATGCAATGATTCAAAAAAATGTTTTGAGCAACTTGACAGGAAAAATCAAAACTGGCTCGTCAGGTCTCTTTTGGAAGATTGGCTCTGAACCTGGAGGCAGGCAGAGTATCGCAGGCTGCATCTGTGGTTTCATGACTCCCTAGGCCTCAAGCTCTCATTCAAACCTTTCCCTGACTGAAAATATTGCTTAGAGGTTGGCTTATGGTATGCATCTGAGCTCCAGCCTACAGACAGTCTGCACACAACTAGGCAGTGCTGCTTGGTCAACAATACTATTTCCCAGAAGGAAAACTCTTTTGTAGCTGCCCTGCTGATTAAAGACAACGTGTAAATTCCTGGTCTCTTTGCCTAACGCAGAACGGATTGCATTGTTGCTACCTGTGGAGACAAACAGGAATGTGAAACTTGATAGTGAGCAATGTCAGATGATAAACTGGGAAAGGACAGAGGAACACTGAGCTTTCACGAGAAGGCGGGTGCCTGGATAGAGAGCAGAGTGAAAGCATTTTTTGTAGAAACTGTCGGTAGCAAACATTAAAGTGGATGTGTCACTCACGCTGCTACCTCAGTTTTCCATTTCTGCGCTAGGGGCTCCATCGCCTTTGGATCTGGACACCAAAAAATCTCTCTTGAAGTCATCTTGAAGTCATCTGCTTGTGAGGCAGAGAAGTGTAATTCCCTTTCTACAGAAGAACCTAAGCAATAAGAGATTAATTGCCAATGTGACAAAAGAAATACAAGGCAGGACCAGAAACTCAGATCAAGTCCCTGAACACTCGGATTAAATTCTCCTCAGAAACCTCTTCACTGCACCAAAATCCCAACAGTGGGCTTTTCTGTTTGCACTTCTTACAGCAAAACACTGTAAAATGCTCTTCTAAATTTCTAGGAAGGACCTCAATCTTCCTTCCTTTTTGGCTGAAATATCATAGTAGTCTTCTGTCTCCTCATCAACTTTATGAACGGCTGTCCCAGCAGTAGCCCAGATAATAAGGAAAACCCTTCTCCCAGTAGGCCTAACAGCACAGAATCTTTCCATTATTTTGCACGTCCTCTCTCCCTGTGACCAAGGGGAAGAATTAAAACAAAACAGGCCTTATAAATGCTAGCTGTTACTAGGCTGCATTAGGGCAATTGCTCCAGGTGGCAACAGTCTGTTTTCACGTTTCTTTCCTGCTGTGGCAGCAGGCGCATCTGTTCAGCCATCTTTCTGGTCCTCTTTGGAAAGCTTTCTGTAAGGACAAGATCCAACTAGATCAATCTTATCTCAGGCTGAATCATGACTTTATTACAGCTTCTCTAAAATAAATTCACTTGTTTTCAGTGTACCAAGACACAGCACCAATGTAAAGCCAGCATATTAAACCGGAAATTGAGGCAGAATTTAATCCCTAACTCATACTGCCTTATTGAGACTTAAGGACTCGATTCTTTTAAGTATGTTGTTCAAAGCAAGCGTAACGTCCTTGCCATCATCAGTGCAAATCCATTTCACTGGTCCTTTCCAGCTCTATTAAAGTCAAGGGGAAGCTTCCTGTTAACTCTGTTTGGCGCTCTCTCAAACCCTGGGAAGAGAGATGAATTCTTCTCCTACCTGTTTGGTTCATGCTTAAATCACTTATTTTCAGGGCAGGGACACATGCTTGTTTTTTCAGTGATCATGTATTCCTGGTATGCAAAGCTCAAAGCTTATTGGTGGACCTTAATACAGATGTAACAATTCATGAATAAGTCTACAAAAGGCCTATGCATTTCTTCTGGTTTGATGGTAAATGTTTATGCCTATGGCATTCTGAATACAATATCAGTGGGTAGCTGAGAAACATATAGCATGCTTCAGAAAGAAAAATGTTTGGCTTGTTATTTGAACAGCAGTGTTAGCGTACAGTTCGGATAATTATGCCTAACAATTTCCTACCTTTAATACAGTGTTTTTCTGCAGTAGCATCTCTTATCCCACAGTTGCCTGGAAGGAAAAGATTTGGGGAAGAACACTTGGGAGAAAGCCTTTTAGAAGCACACTCTGGCAAAGAATGACATCTTTGTCTTCTTTCCCAGGATATCTGTTAAGTGTGGATAAAATTCAATAGTAGTACTGGCATTATTAAGAGCTTTAACAAAATAAAAACTGATTTTCTCCTGCCAGTCAAAACTTGCATTTTGCAAGGAGTGGATTTTTATCTGCACCAACATCTGAATACAATAAAGAAACCTGAGTGAACTTCAGAGATGAAAAGCAAAAGCATATGTATGCCTAGGATCAGACAGGGAAAACAACGAGTGTCAGGTAGGAGTAAAACGCGCAGGCCGCTCTAATAGTATCAATGACAAGAATGCAAAAGAAGCAGCAGCAAATCTTCCTGGACAGTGCTAGAGTTATACATCCTGAAGAAGAAATAAGATGTTTCCCAGATCATCTTCAAAGGTGAATTTTGGAAACTGCCAACATGACGGGATGTGCTGCTAAAATCATCCTTTTCTTTCTGCGCTTAGGACATAGCAACACATATGAATTAACTTTTTTGTTTGGCATTTAAGAACTATGAAGGCTGTTGCACAATAGGAGATGCTCCATGAACACGGGGAGTCTGACATGTTAATAAGACATCAATGATTCTTTTTGACATGACTCTATGACAAGCAAAAGTAGTGTTATACAGTCACACATATTTAGGGGAGCGAGCAAACACAGACGAAGATCACTAAGACTACAACAAAGCAAGGCAACAGGAACCCAGAGATGATTTGCACTGTAGCCATGAAACATGGACTTCACCCTCCTAAAATGATGGCACTATTTTCAACTTGTATCTTGATTAAAGGACATCTAACATAATCCAAATCTAATGGTGATTTAATCTAGATTAGGAAATTTCTTCCTGTTATTTGATATTTGCCATTAAAACACTGATGGGGAAAGGAAAAGTACTAACATTTTTTCATTGAAAAGAGAGGGAATATTTGGGCCTGGAAGAGAAAATACGTAAGGAAGATATAGCAAGAATGAACAAGATAGGAGCAGGGTCAGCTGAAACAGAAATCGCAGCTACAGACTGTCAAAGCACCAGACTGTATAAACAAATTTGGTTTAAGCCACTCACAGCACTCTCAAACTGAACCTTTTTAGAGGACCGCATAACTGGTTCAGTTTCTTTTCTTTACCTTCATGTACTACCTTGCAGCAGCCAACAATGAAAAAAAGAAGCACTGGCAAAGTCACAGCAGGAGACTTGTACCTGTGATAGAGCAGAAAAAACGTTCTATTCACTGAAAAACGCCATTTCAGTTGTCTGAGGTTATTGTGAATTCATGCTGAAGTATGGCTAACAGGGCAAGTCAAAATACACTGAAATATGCTTGTTTTAAAATAAAAATTCATTTTGACATTTTCAAAACGAAGTATTTTGATACTCTGTTCTGAAGCAGTATTTTGTTTCAAATCTGCTTGAGTTCAAAACAATAATACGGAGAAGGAAGACTGAAAAACTAAAACGAATATATTTCAGTTTGAAGGGAACAAAGTATTTATGTCAATGACATTATTATTTTGATTTGATCAGGAATCCAAAATATCAGTTGTCCCAGCAGTTTTGATTCTCACGCTCTTAGTCCTGCTTTATTTAACCATCTTCCCAGGTATGGTATGTCAAAGTGCTGTACGCTCTTTATTAAGAAATCACATATGAAAAGGGACTGCAATAAGAAAGAGAAAATAAAAAGGACGCAATCATGACTGCTTCTGTTGATCTTTTCACTGACAGACAATAGGAAATGAATCCTGAATCTCCACTCTTAAATAATTTACAATGTGCAATAGAAGTTTTATTTCTCAGAATATGCTCCAAAATGCTGCAACAACCCCCTAGGGATGAAACCAACAAGAAAAAAAGGGAGGGAAAGAAGACTGAAAGTAAGAGCATTTTATTCGCTTGCCATCAGATGGAAATTGCCCTGTACTGAAGGTATGTACTTTAATTGGAATGATCAGTTGCAAATTTTAACACTCTAGACTTTACTTTTGTCGCGGTTGTCGAGATGACATGTTTCTGTAGTACCTCTTCATTTCTGCAAAGGAGGGGGTGGAAGTCTTTGAGGTGCCACCTGGCTGGGGTCTCCCTCCAATGAAATGCATTCATTTAACTGATAAGCAGTTCCTATTCAGTCATGTTCATCGGGTACCTTAGTCAAGTATCTTTCTACTCATTTTGTGGATATGCAAACCTTTAAAAGAAAAAAGTGAATAGCCTAAGGTCAGTAGCACCATAATCATAGTCCTTTCCAGTCCATTTGACTGGACCACACTACGAGAATAGGAATTTCTAGGCTGAAGATGCTGCACATTTTCCTAGTCGTTCCCCCCCCCCCCAATCCCCGGGGACTTGAAGCAACAGGGGTTGAAATTGATATCATAACGAGTAATACATACTGCTAAGTAGAAATCCATCATACCGCAGATGAAGAAAAACAGTTTTCCCATGTGTAACTTATTTGATGACCCTATTATCTTTGCATTGGTGTTATTTGCATGATGTGGACACCATTTTTCTTTCTCATGTTTGTTTATTATCGTGGACTCTGATGTGCCTGTCCATTGGTCAATGCGTTTCCATTTAGCACTGTAATTGAAAGCTTTTGTTGTATCACAGAGAGACTGTCTCTAATACAGAACCATCTGGACATTCAGGAAGTCTACCTTAAGTCCGCTCTCAGAAGTGCGACAAACGACAAGTACTCAAATATAGACAGTGATACAGGAAAGGTGTTTTTTCAGTGTGCCTAGCAACTGAACTCCCAAATGCACTCAATGGGTTATGACGTACACCTAGCTTTCCCTGACAGGCCATATTCAGGCCACTAAGAAACCACGTACACAGAATGAAGGGTAGGGTAGAAGAAGACACACAAAAGGGAGGATCTTGCAGTGGAAATAAAGAGCGAGCCCATGAGTTTCCTCAAACCTATAGATCGTTACTGTCCATATGTGCTGTAAAGGCTGATGACTTGCAGGATAAGCAATGGGGTTGTGAGGTTTATTATGCTTGCACCTCTGGTCCCAATCCAAGCTCGTCTAGGCCGGGAAGGTCATTCCCACCTTTATTCCAGTGATCAGATATCCTCATAAAGGGCCCCACTACCATATCATCAGCACGTAAAGATGAGGGATAAGATGAGAGAAAACAGATATCCTCAGCATTTCATTTCTGCCTTTCCTATTGGGCTGTTTGGACAGGCAGTGGCACTGTGGAGTGCTGAGTGCCTGTGCTGTAATGGCTAGTGGTGGTGCAGCAACAGCAATAGCTACAGATGTGAACTAAAGTAGCATCTCGAGTCAGACAAAAAACTCCTACTGATATGAGTTTTACCCCTAGCTTGAGGAAGTTCATCTCTTGCAGGGCTTCCATGCAGTCTATGTAGATCCAGGATCTGGTGCTGCACAAGTTTATTCAGGGATAATATTCCAGTGATGCTCCAGGGCTCAGGAACCAGAAAGTTTTTCACCCTTCTATATGATGTAAGGATAAAAGTTATACATCATTTTCTTGAGAAAAAAGTACAGAAAATGTCTAAACTAACCAAAGGAGATGAGAGGGACGTTCCTCTATTTCTGAAAAAGTCACACATTTCTGGATATTACTGATCTCTCCATTTTAGAAATGAGTAACATTTCATATTGTCTTCAGGATGCAACTGATTGCTGTAAATAATGTGCAGGGATTGGTGCTTCCTAAACCTAAAGGATCAGCCTCTGTACATATTGGTCCATTCAAATGCTGAATAAAGGGTTTCCAATATTGAGAGAAATAAGGGTATTTTCCCTTTCAGGAAAGAGAAGTAAGGACACAATCTCCCAACTGTGAAATGTGAAACAGAGTGAAAATGAAAGGCAACAGAGGAGAGCAATCATCCTGTGCAATTCTTTCATTCTGAGCACTGGGGAGCAGTGAAGCTGATGAGAATATTCAGCTTGCATTTACCAAAAACCATCATTTTAAGTTTGACAGATATACACCAGCTACTGTGTGGGCCTCACTTGAGAAGGGCTTTTGCATAAGGGGGACCATGAGGACTCAAACAAAGCAAGCATCACCTTTGACCCTGCAAAATTTGCTTGTAAGCAGATGAACACGTCCTGACAAAAGGACAGGGCCACGGTAATGGAACAAGGATTTGATTGACAGCATGCTGACTGACAAGAACATTACCCACGTCATACAATACGGTGCTCAGCTACGGTCTCTTAAAGTGGGAAGCAAAAATATTATAGACACGCCAGGGGGTTTATGAATTTAAGGATGCAAAATTGATTTTTCAGAGGGCAACGTCACCTAAGCTGGAAAAGCCCTAAGAGGAGAAAGGTTCAATCTGATGTTGAAAAAATGACTCAAACTCAGAAATTTTTTTGTGGACAGGTCAAAAACACTCTTTTATTTTCAGAGTTCTGATAATCTGTTCTTTGGTCTTAATCTGCCATAATCTCCCCATGCTTTGTGTTAGCATTGTTATATGCATTCCTTCCTTGGTCTTCATCTTTAAAATAATTTGAAAAGACCTTCTCATTCACAAAGTATTTTAGGAAAAAAGATGGATTTTTCCCCAACTCATTAACCTGCAGTACTTGTTTTCGCCTTGTGATGGTCAGAGTTCTGTGGTTCTGAAGTTCACTTAGGAGAAGTCCCCAAAAAGGTAACTAAGAAAAAAAAGTCCATAGTTAAATTTGCCACAGAGGGATCTGTACTTCCTGCAGAAAAAGTTTTGGTGATTGTGTATCAGCAAAGATTGAAGGTTGCCAGTCTTCAGGTATTTTCCAAGAAGCTGAGAAAGGGGCTCAACAATCTGTCAGGGTTATAGCTGGTCTGTGCATGATCTCTCAAATACATTAGAGGTCAGAATTATTAATTCCAGGCCCATGCAGATAGGCACAGAAAACGCAAAGTCAAGATGAAAGTAATGCTACAGAAAGGACTGGAATAGCCAGAGGAAAACAGTTCCATTTTGTGACAATTTTGATGCTTCTAAACTGGTTTCTGTTGTTCTCTGATCACTTTTCAGTGTATTCCTCAAATGGGTATCATGTTGAAAAATCCATTTTCAGTTGGAAAGGGGTGGTTTTTTTCACTCAGATAATTTTAGGTTTCCTCCCCTCAAAAGCACCATCAGAACTGCTCTCTATGAAACATTTGGCTTTCAAAGCGTATTTCAGCACAGATGCATTTCATTGAAAAGTGCTCTGCGTAGATCTTTAGACCAGAGGCACTGCTGCATGGCATGTTGCTACACCACAGGAGCGTGCAACGTGCCAGGCAAACGCCTTGGACATGCATTAGCCCAAAGGAACATCCAGATGCTTTCACTGTGAAAAAGGGCATGGGTGTGATGAAGTTGAACAGTTACTATTAGAGGTATGCGTTGAGGTGAAAACAGCCAAGGTCTGTGCCAAAGGCAGTTAACGTTCTCGCAAGTTACAAACCTGCAAAGGAACGTTACAGTAAATACCTCTGCCGCACGCTATTTCTCAAGAGGTTGAAAAGTGCTCTTTTGGATAAATATCTGTGGGGTTATTTTTCTTTACTAGAACTGATGTTCTGTCACTACTTAATGTCTCATGTCATTAGAAACACCAAGCTGACATTTTCTGTGGCTCGTTTAATACTGGTAGTCGATTATCCCAGGCACTAGGGTGATACCATATTGTCTGTGATCCAAAGAGTTCAAAGGTTTAGGACTATAAAATATAGATAGAAGAGGAGAAAGAAAAAGAGACTGGTGAGTAGGAAGATGAAGTAACATTTAAAATCTTTTTTTTTTCTTCTTCCCTCTTAACAGGCTGCATCCTTTGTTTATAAGCTGAATCCCTGCTGTGAGAAACAGAGCAAGTCAAAATGCAGGATCTCATTTTTCTGTAACATTACCCTTTCTTAACTGTGACTTTTTGACCAGATCTTTTAAGAAAACAGAACTGCACTGTCTCCTCTGGCGGATAAGTCTTACCTCACAGAGATAAGGAAAGGAAAAGCTATTGAGCATAGATTTGGCTAAAGAGCGTTTTTGACTGCTCAGATTTTTAATCTGCAGCGTCCACTTCACAGTAGTATGTTTATGTTGTCTCAGCAGCACACTACTGTGCTGCCAAAATTCACTGAGATGCTTTGCACTGTCATTCAACAAAGTGGGTTGGGCTCATTTAAGCTTTGTTAACAGCCAAACGTGTATAGACGGGCTGCTTTCCACATAATAAGTTTTAAGCCTTTCTTTCTTTTCCCCTTCTACTCTCCTAAAATACATGATGTTCTCTGGACATTCTTGGTAAAACAAAGAAGATCTTTAAGCATATCCTATATGTCTATGATAGAGTCCTCAAATAACCAGGGGGAATGTCATTCACCTAATATCATCCAAGACCTTGTCTATACACAGGTGTTGTATGAGTTTAAGTGACTCAACCTTAAATCAATCATGTTAGAAGAGGGCAAACTCCCCCACTAAAGGTGTTTGAACAAGTTTATATCTCCCTTAAACTGATTTAGCTTGTGGCCTTCTGCAAATCAAGCCAAGCAATTTAAATAAGTGATCAACTGGATACAGAGCATCACATGAAGGGGCAGGCACAAGATCTCACGTGGTCAATTTAAAATTGATTTTGTTCAGCTGGTGCAACTCTTCTTGTACAGAAAAGACTTAAGAACAGACTTTTCAGACACAAATAGGAGCTTCTCAGAGAGACTGCATCTCATGAATGCAGAAGACTCCAATTAACTTCATACTTAGATAACTCGGTTTACTTAGGTAACTGTATTGTCTGAAAGACCGACCAGGATATGAATAGCGATAAACTGACCTGAACTGGTACTTCCACATGCAGTTTGGGGAAAGGGTAAACAACATCCACACTGAATATCTTCTTTATCTCAAATTCGTTTTAAAATGGAAGAAACGTATTCAAAGACAAATGGGCTTTCAGTTAAGGCAGTCATCCAGGGCCCACTTCTATCCTTATTACCGGTTTCTTTTACAAGGTACGCCACGCCACATAGGGTCAGATTCAAAACAGCTCCTCTGGATGCTCAACTGTTCTTGGCCCTAGCAATTCGATCCCCAGAGCTTTCTGAGGGAAGCCCAAATGCTGCGACATGGGCTGTTGAGAGCTAGTCAAAGGCAGCTGGCTCAACTCCTACCCCTTGGCTCAGCAATTTAAGACTTTGAATCAAAGCGGCTTCTGAGGTGCTGCCACCTACACTGGATTCATAGTACAGTCTTCCTTTCAAGAAAGGAGACCAGCTAAGAAAAACAGTCTTGGGAAGAGGAGGGCAAGGCCTCTAGCTTTTGCTCAAGGTGCCTATGGTTAAGTTTATCGTAACTGGAAGACAGTGGCCTAGATTTTGTCTCTGCTTCAAAAAGTGACAATTCTTTTACATTAGATGGCCACTGGTTAACAAAAGCATCAAAAGAAAATCCAGAGCACAAGGACTAAAATGCCCATCTCCTATTCTGAGCTGAAACTAACTAGTATTCAGAAACTGATACATCCAGGATTAAGAGGTGGACTTGTAGTCCTGCCTTTTTTATACCAAACTAGATCCGTAAAGGATGCGCATGGCAGAGAGCAAAGACATGATGGTGTTTACCACCCAAGTCCAAAATGATTTCAAATGAGGCCCTGTTTAGCTACTAATGCAATCACAAAACATCTTCCTATCGAAGTCCACCGCATCCTAACGCTCTGCCTCTGTGCACAGTACTTCCCCAGAGTGGGCAACCTGGCACATATCAGTCAGTCAGTGGTTAGAGGCCTGAAAAGGTATTTAGTTACAGAGCACTGACTCATTGTCCAGTGTAATGGATATTCCTTATTCTAGAGTTTTCAATCTAAATAGAGGAGACAAAGAGAGGTGGGGGAGGGGGAAAAGGGGGAACTACATCCATTTTCCAGAATAAGCTCAAAGAGCTTGCTACATCTTTCTCAATTTGTGTTCTTCTGTTTTAAATGAACATCCTGAAGAAGTCATTATATTTAAGGTAGACCCTGACAATGAGACAGTCTTTTTACCCAGAAAAGGACAGATGTACAGAGCCCAAGACAAAGGTCATACACCGGGTTATTTGTATCAGGTCCAACGTTTTGTGCTATTGTACTCAATGCATTGAGAGCCATAATACATCCCGCTAACGCCCAGCACTTCCAAAGTAAGTCTTCTGACCCCTCCAGCAGTTATGTTGACTAGCATCTTAGAAAACCTATCTCAATTTATTTTGACAGGGAACGTTTTCCCTCAGCCATAAATGTCTCAATAATCCTTTGTGAATGGCTGAAGTTACTGAAATCTTCTGCACTGCAGTAATATATTCCTTCCTCTAACAGACAGGCTTGTTTTCTGAAGGTTTATTGAAAAATGAAAGTCTCATATAAAATGTATTTCAGGTCATTTAACTTTTCTATCTCCTTTTATAATCCAATGAATTTTATTCATTTTAGTAATCTCCTCCTGAGTCTAAGTACTGTGGGGCTGAGATTAAAATACAGTGCATATGAATCTGGGTTCATAAAAGAAATTAAGTCTCTTCTTGCTTATGAGGTCGCAACTGAGAAGTGAGATGAGAGTAAACTGCCTGATTTTTATTCTTCTGTGTCTACACAAATCAAGTTCAGATGGTTCAGCTACTGTCAAAATTAAGGTTGATAAACCTACGATCTCTCTGCAGGGAATCCTTTCTTGAGGCATGAAACCTGAAGCCCTTATCAGGGTGTTTCCGTACCACTTTCAGCTGTTCAGATCAGTGACAAGGTCCAGCAGTGAGCTGATGCCCACAGCAGTTTCTCCTTGCTCTATTTCAGCAGTGATGGTGCAGTAGTGTAAGCACAGATGTGGCTGCTTGTGATGTACTGCCCTTGGCAAACACATGACATCTCCAAATAGGTAAGGTACTTGTCCTTTGATGCTTGTAGCCTCCAGTGAAGCCAGTGCAACTGTAGCCCAGCATATTAACAGTGAAAAACCTCTTTCTTGTATATTGTCTTTCACCATCAAATCAGAGAACCAAAGGACTATTCTGATTTCACATAATTGACTTGAACCGTTTCAAAGTTGGACTAATGCCCTTAGAATGTCAGAGAATCTCCAGTAAACTAATTCATGTTTGGATCAACCCAATCTCAGAGTGAAACAGAGAGGATTTTCCATACTGTAGGTTTTTTATTCTCCTGCATATCCCCGAGTTGTATTGTAACTAGTAGCTTGATACTGAGAAAGTACAAAATCTTTTGACCTATCTTCTTTCGACATGAAATGTATTCTTCATTAAAATTGATTAAAACAAGATGTAATTTTATTGGAAAAATTAAAATCCTTTTACTTGAAAATAATGTGACATTAAACAGAACATTCCTTTTGGGATCAAATAATCCTTATGCTTTTTCAAAATCAAAAGAAAAAGCTTAAGGTAGAAAAATCATTTCTAGATTTTTTGTTAACTATGAAACAAAATCTATAAAAAATGGAATAAGAGGATGGTTTGAGGGGATTTTTCATTGGAAAAGGAAAAAGTGAGCAATATCGCCTAGGCTTTTTTGTCACCTGGAAACCAGATAGGGTTATATAGTGCGTTATAATTCCTTCCCTCGTGTGGTTTTTCTCCTAGAACATAAGGACACACAGAAGATTCCAAAATGCTGTCAGGAAGAACAGAAGTTACTTCATTGTTTGCATAGTCATGCATTCTTCACAGCTTCCAAAGACTGCTGTTTCACCTTAGTTTTTTTCTGCTTTTACAGTAGCATCTGTAACTTCTGTGTCCAAAAAAAAAAATAAATAATGTTCAACTTCCTTCTCTGTACCTTGGTAAGACGGCTAGTATGAACTGACTGCTTTGAAGTGAGACAAAACATTACTTACAGTTATCTCTAGACCAATAGAAAACACCTTACCTGGCAAAACAGTGGAAGAATCGATTCTCTGATTTGCGGCAGTGTTGAACATGTTGGACATGTGGCGCTACTGCTAAGCTGGGCTACTTCATCCCTGGTCCAAAACTGTCTCTCAAGGACCAGTTTCTTCATGTCCCATTGAATACATATTTGTCCTTGCAGGTCTCTCAGTTTTGGGACCTCTTGTTATGTATTTATACCTATGGATATAACAACCAGTAACTATGAAGTCTTTGAACTCATCAAGTCATATGGCAATAAGGTAAATGATCAAAGAAGTTACAGAGAAAGGGAAACATACACGCAGTTCCATAGTATTAAATGAAGAGAAACATTGCCTGGATGTAAACCACCACAAACCAGAACATGACATAACCAGTGAAGTTCAAGGACTGCATGACCTGCACTACCTCATAAAGCGAGATTTACCAGCCACTGTCCTGTCTCCACAAAAATTCATAAGCAGCCACCAAATCACACAGAAGAGTTTCTGCTTATCTTTCTGTTAAGAAACCTTCCCAAACTTCTTTTCCTTCAGCTCATAACTGAAATATTCATTAGTGTGTGATGTAGACTTGGGGGACTTCCAACGAGATGTACAATAGATGTGGATCCAAGATGGTATAATTACAGGTTTCCATTATCCATGGCAAGCGGAGCAAGTTCAAGATTAGTTTCTCTTGTTGTATTATACCATTTGAAAGAAAGCGTCAGACACATCAGGCTAAAATGGGATGATACTCTTCCTACACAAGCACAGGCAGAGCCCTAATGAGCTGACTCTTCTGTCAAAATTGGCATATACAGGAATTGACCTGAGAGCACGTCAAGGAAGCTTCCGAAGTACATAATTTAGCTGGTAAATAATAGGGAAAGTAGGTCAATTGATGCTTACCACTGTCCCAAACCAGTGAACTGCCACTGAAAAAGACTAGCTGAATGGTGTAAAAAAAAGTATGCTAAAATTTGGAACTTGCAATTTAGTAGAACACTCCCAGAAAACCCTTTGCTAGGAAATTAGATAAGCTAGAGACATGCAAGGAAACATGCTCAACCGATTAAAGAGAGACTTTCCAGATAGCTTTGGGAACAAGAGCGGAGCCAAAAATCAAGAGTCAAAAGTGGTTCATAAAAGGTGAGTGACCATTCACTCTTCCTCTGCCCATTAGAAAATCTGGTATGTAATGCACAAACTCTGATAGCTCATTTTTTATCCTCTTGCGACTTTTTGTTAACTAGAGGAAATAAAGCGTGAGTGATTTCTGACTATTGTCGTGCTTAACGACAAAGGATGGATTCCATCCTTAACTTCAGCATAGTCTGGCAATGGTCAGACTTGGAGAGGTCAATGAGTACTGGGACTAGGTCTGTCTACAGGAAATACTTATTACGTTTGCCAACTAGGATAGATTTGTTGTCTTAAGTCCGAGTGTAAAAAAAGATTGGGAGGCTTTTTTATGAATGTTGTCCTTCGTACTGTTCAACAGAGGGAACAGTGGTCCTGGGTCCACAGTGATCTCTGCAGCACTGACAGCATCCTCAACGCCTAGCATTTGGCTTGCACCTTCTACTGGGCACTGCAGCACCAAAACGTTCCTGAGTCAAGTAATTCAGGTCCAAACTACACAAATACAAGACTATGCTCGAGCCTGCAAGCCCTGTATTTGAGTAAGGGCAGTCATTTAGTAGTTCACTGCATCTCTTACACAACGTAGCCGAACTCTGAGGTATCCTGTAAGGTGATGCAATGAAAAGTTCACAATTACACTGCAAAGATGACAGAAGTTTCCTTTCTGCAGTGCTAAAGCTTTTGGAATGAAACCCTGATGGTAATTCACATAAATATAGGAAACACAATATTGGCCCATAATTTTATCACTTAGTTTCCATTCATAGGCCAAATCATATGTCAAAGTTTGTACAAAAGAGGCACACAAAATGATGAACTGTTGGATCTGACACTGATGAAGCCTGTAATTAATTGTTAACCTCACCCTTGACCTTTTGAGGAATAAAGGTTAGAGCTACCTCAGAATTAAGATTGTTCATTCCTTCTGATGTTGGTTTACACCATAGGCTCAGATAGCCCGTTCTGAAGGTACTTATTCCCTTTTCATGTTGTCCAAGTGACAGCACAACTGCAATAATGGTAACTCCTTTCCAGGAAATAGAGCATTTAGTAAAAGCTTGGTGTGCCCAATGCATTGGTTCACCCCACTGTGAAGTTATGCCTGGAGAAATGAAACACCAAGATCCGGCCTCCGCTGCAATAAAAATAATTCCTATTATTACAGCAGTACTCTTACACTTTTATCCAGAGACAGGTCACAAATTCAGGACGCCAAAGAAGATGTGGCTGAACAACTTGGTCTTCATTTTTCTCGGGTTTGAAAAAAAAATAAAAAACCATACACATTGCAATTTATGGAGCAACGAATGGACTGAATAGTGGAATAAACATCAATAGAGAACATAAAGATGCCATGAAACATTTCCACCAGAACGGCTGAAGTCTCACTTCCCTGGCAAATCCATCAAGACACATTTTCATTCCTCTGTATTTCTGTAAAACTAAGAATAGTCTGAACAAAGGGAAAATAGATTATTAAGAGATTAAAAACAAAAGAAGTTTTGACTTCACACATTACATGCATTTCAGTGATGCTATTAGGGAAATTAATGAAACCCATTTTCTTTACTCTGGGGCTCTGGAAAAGTCATTAGATTAGAATGAATATATAACACTACATCAATCTAATTTCAAGAGAGGGAATCAGCAAACCAATGAGCAGATGCAGCTTCAAAAAATTCACCTTAATGGCAGTAATGCAAGTTTCATGAGTTACAGTGAAAATTAAAAACAACACAAAGAGACAATGATTCAGTGAAGCACAAACACAACAATTAAGTGCCTCTGTCTACTCAGCATCAACCGGACAATTAACACTGCCGTTTTACTAATCTCAGGATTTGGCTCTTCCTATTTATCTGGATGATACCCTTGCAGCACTCTTTCTCAAACACAGACTGAAACTATGTTCCTTTAAATAGCAGTGCATTTGGTGACTTTAAAACTTCATTTAAGGGAACAGCTTCACAGAATATTTGTTTAGGAGAAGGAGGAAAACATTCCACATTCTTGTAGGGTTTTAAAGTGTAACTACTTTTAAATTGTACCTTCTTTTAAACATTTATTTAAAACCTTAGTATACACTGTTCCTCTTTTCAAGATACACATTTGGTGGCTCTAATTTTTTATTGCTAATATTTACTTAAGGCCCACTCGAAAACCAAATTAAAAATAAAATGGACATGTTTATACAAAAAACAACAAAAAGAAACAAATACTACAGGTCTCTGTGGAACCAGCAAGATAACTGAAACAGAAGTTTGTGACATGAGCAACTAAAGCTCCTGCTTCTGTAGGTCAACAGATAAACAGGCTTACTGATTTTTAGAGATTATGCAGACCTCCTGCCTGTATTGCTGGTTTCTCTGGAGCTTATTTTTCCCTAGAGATTTTGCCTTGCATCATGGGGAAAATGCTCCAGAATTCCCACCTACACCAGCAGGATCTAGAACTCACTAGCTACAATGGGCATTTGACACTGCCTTTTGCAGGCACTTGCAAGCATGTACTGCAAGGCGGCTGTACGTAAATGAGGAACAGCACAAGACACTACTACCTCAGCACAGTGTTCAGAAGAGCTATACCCCTTGCATAGTCCTGCAACTTAGCCTTTAGAGCTGGCTCTTCACCAGGTGGCTGAAGACAGAACAAAGCCACGTTTGTCTTCTGCGGCCATTGCCTTACAGACAAGATTTTCGGATCAGGTTCTAGCACAAGACCTTCCCTCACCAACCCCTACTTTCTTTGGAAGAATGAGATCAATTAAGTTCCAGTTTCCCGATGCCAAATTCGGCCATTCAATTAAAAATCATAGGGCATTAAACTCTTAGCTCTCAGTTCAAACTCGTCAGTGTCCTTGATGGCAGTCAAACTGGCAGTTCCCATATAAATATTATACTAACAAAATGTTACTTAAGTTTTTGTGCGCATATCTGCGCAAAGTAGGAACATTCTTGATTCCTTCCTTACTGTTTATGACTGTTCATCTCCTATTATTCCTCCTCTGTAATTCAGAGCACTCCATCTTCTAACGAGGAGCCAAATACAGTATGTCTGAAGAAACCAAGCACTCACCACGAATATCAAACACCAAGTCAACAGTTCACTGGAATGTGCTGCTTGGAAATCTTTCTTGCAATAAATGACTTTTGCTGCTAGTGAGCAGCAGTGAATAATGCCCAGTGGGAAGGATACAAACTGCTGATGTCAAATCAAAAGCAGCAGACAGTAAGACCACTTGGCAGCTGGTTAACCTTAGGTGGGATGCTTGGATTTTCAGAGTATGCACAAAGGAGCACAGAGCTCACACACTGGCCAAAATAATCACTGGTGCAGTGACTGTAACTGATGCTGTCTAACAAGTACCCTTGTTGAAAAATAAAAGGCTGCGTGACCCAGCACTTCTCCAACAAATATGATTTTCCCAACAATACTGAATCTCCAGTTAAGATTTAGTGTGACAACTGACTGACTTGCCACAAAAAACACAGACTTGGAAACAGTATTTCATTTTCCCTTGAAAATGTTGCATTTTTCAGAGTGGTAACCGTCACTCTACTAAATTTAATGAAAGCCAAGTATACAGAGCAGATTTACAAGCCTATCGCTTTATTGGTACTGCAACAACGTTCTGGTAATCAACAACACAACTATACTGTAAGTGTACTTCATGCTTTTCTTGGCAGAAAGTTTTATAACATTTTATAAACATCAAGAAAGGTGGACAATAAAAAAAGTGTGTGGGGGGGACCTGAAGGAAGTCTATTTATTTATTTTCCTCTCTTGACAGCTGCATTCAGAGACCAAGATCCTATTTGTGATTAAATGGCATGACTTCAGAAACTAATAAATTCCTCCAAGATGGAGAGATTTGGGTAATTTGGTGCTAAAAAGGAATTACTGTAATTGTGAAACAAAAAAAAAAAAAAAACAGCTTCTTGCCTATGCTTTAGCACAAAGACCGGGGAGCTAAAAAGTTTGTTTTTAATAAAGTCCTTCTGAAATGGCTCAGGTGCTTGAAGCAGATTCTGACTTAGTGGTGCTCACCTACTCTTTGTCCTTCCAGACAAA